TCTTAAAAACCGCTTAAAAACTTGTGAGTCTAACCCTCTATCAAGGTACAAAGATTTTAAACTTTAAGATAACAAATTTCAGATACCCAAAATAAATAAATATTTGTAAATAAAGCATGTTATAAAAACTTGATTACAAAAAATAATTTAAACAGTTTAAGAACAGAAATTGGTAGAGGGCTTACAAGTTTCTAAAATATTGTAATTGAATGACAAATGTATAACATAGGAAAAAAAATTATTATAGCTTAGTTAAGAATAAAAATATTGTGCTTAACACAAGACAAATCAAGACAAATTGATTCTTTTCAGGTGGATATCCTCTAAGTATAGACTAAAAGTAGTTCGTCCTCATTCTGGCTTAAATATATTTCATTAACCGGAAATAGGCATATTTACCAATTAAATAAATTGCTAAAGCTTTCAGATAAGCCGAGATACCTTGAATGGCGTATGTTATTCCGAAGAAGCGGAACAGACAGAATCCGGCAGACATTGCGTAACATGAAGTCGCAAAAATTATGTACAGAGATTAAGAAAGTAAACCGTTATCTGCCAACGCCCCCGGCCAAGAAAAAGGGGAGGGGCGGCCAAAAATGTGAGGAGAGGGGGCGGAAAATTGGATGGAGGGGGCGCAATCCGTGTTGACAGTTTCCGCTGCAGGCGATTCACGCAGGGGCGGGGGAAAAACATAATGAAATTATGTATTTTCTGGATATTTCGTGTGTGGCAGATGAGCTCGGCTACGTAGGAAAGATTTCCTTCTGTTTTATGTGTGTACGAGGGAATGAATCTTAAAATTTCCTACAATAATAAAATAAGCGAACAAACAAATGTGGGATGTAAAAGCAAAAGAGACCATAAATGAAATGAAAAAGATTAAAATAAAGCTGCTCATAAAAAGATGCACATAAAATATAAATTTCGACATGAAACAAGATTTTAAATTATATGACATAGAAAAAATGTTGTGTTTCTTCAAAAAGAATAATTTTAATAAAGAATATTTAAGAGTTCAATTTCCTTTACAATACAAAAATTTATAAAATTTAAAGATTATTGTATTTCCAAGAATGAAATTCCTATTAAATTAGGAAATCACTTTCCTGTCTCAAAGCCAATTAATTTTTTTATTAACCACAATATTTCTTTTAGCACCGCTGACAAAACCTTAAAGGTAATTTTTTTCTGTAATTGTGAACACAATTTAAGGTAAATTCCTTAAGGCATTAAAGGTATTAAAGCTGACATTTTATAGAGAGTTATAGACTCCGCGGAAAATTGGATAGATCCGCCATGGAAACCCTTAAGCTCCTTTCCGGATGATTTGGAAGCCTTTCAGCAACTGGCGAGCCAAACGAACGTGATGCCTGAGTTTCGACCTCAGGTATCTGCATGTTTTGTGGGCAAGTGGAATCAGTATCCTGATATCCGATTGCAATAGGTGTGGGGGTGTTGTTTCCGTCTTGCCTCGATTGATTCCGATTCTAATTGTTTTGGTCTAGTGGTAATCGCCTTTTGTCTGTGCAAATTACCTGAGCCGTGGCAAAACTTCAACCCCCAAATGGGCAAATAATTATTCGTGCACACCCAAATCCCCCAAAATTCCCCCGGGGCCAACGAAAGTAGACGGGAAGAAAGAAAAATTAAGCAAATATCACGTCGTTCACATTTGAACTTCAGACAAAATCAAAGACAAGCTGGGTCTTTGGATACAATGGAAACTTGGCCACAAGTTGAATAAACGTTGTGTAACAGAATATTCCCTTCTTTAGAGTTCGAACGATTGTGTGTATTTGAGTGGGACCTGGTTTGATTCAACTTCGCTTTTAATTACAGAAAGGGCTCAATAGCCCGGCAATGGAGTTTAGATAGCCCGGAGAAGGTTCACCAAATTGGTAGTGGATGCTGGTGTTAATAATGAGCTGGCAAAACCAGATCAGAATTGGTTGAACTCACAGGTGTATCTGAACCGTTTAGGTCTGTCTGTTTGTGAAGTAATCCATATTATAAGGTATTTTCTGTCGATCGATGACCTCAAAATACACTTTAATACCCATTGGTGTAAATTAAATAAAATTTATTAAAAACATTAGCTTTTTGTTGGTGTCAACATTTATTTATAAAGCTTAATATATATAATTGTATAAATAATTGTATAATGGAAATATCATTGTCCAATCCAATAATAATTCCAACATTTCGGCGGGGTATTTTCGTAAATGCTTTTTCAAAAGTTTGTTTTATTTAAATATAAATTCAAAAATACATTAGGAAATTTATTATTATAGTTTATAGTTTATTATAGTTTTTTTCCGTGCAGCAACAAAAACAAAAATAGAGTTTGCAACAAACAGGCAAGTTCATTGCTAAATCATCGAGTGCAGGCAACTCGTTTTAACTTCGTTTCAAAAAAAGAAAATGGGGAAATCCCCCAAACGCACACACAGAAAGGGGAAAGTCAGTTTGAGGTTGTGTGTGTGTGTGTGTGTGAGTAAATTGTAGAGTTGGCGCAAACGAGTAAAGAAATCGCTCATGCAAAACTGATTGACTGTAACGAAGAAACTGTAAAAAGAAACACGAAACTTGTTACAGTTGCTGCTGATTTTTAGACCCTGCCACGCCCCCGTGTAACCGCGTTTTCGCTGCCCGCCCCCTTGGCTGTCTGTTATCTGTCGGCGTGTATTTATGTACATACATCCCCTCACATATGCAACGTATTCATTTGCCCCCGCTTCCAGAGATCCTGCTCCTGCATCCTCCGGTTGCTGATTTTTATTGAAACGAAAATATCGTTGGCTGCGCTGCCCTTTCCTTTTATGTTCGTCAGCTTCCCCCCCGCTCCTCCTTTCGGGGCACAACTTTTTTTGTCGGTTGCGCACTTAATTGAAAGGAATTGTTAATTCACAGGACCCCAATCCATTCGCTCGATTTCTCGCCTTTGTGCGTGATTGGTTAGTGCTGTAAGCGGCGGTAACTGTACTTCTGCTTCCCGACCTCCAACTCAATTATTTTTATTTTTCTTGTCGAAAAGTAATGCATGACGCACTCAGAAACTTTGAAAATGTTTTTTATATTATTAATTTAAAACCAAAAAGAAAATTAACTATCATTTGTGACTCTTAAACTTATTTAAAAACATATTTTATTCTTTAAAATGTTGTTTTGGATTTATACCTTTAAAAAAGTCCTTATAAAGGTTTAATCTTTATTTTTCGAGTGCTCACTCAGTGAGAAGAAGTGTACATGTCTGTTGTTACGCGTTTTGTTTGCCAGAAGGCGTCTGTCAGACGTTTGTCAGCCCCCTCCCTCCAGCACTCTTTGTCGTATTTATTCGTGACACTTATTTGTCATTTTTAGCATATATAAACATTGTGTGGATTATAAAAGGATTATAGCCCCAATCCCCCAGCGTAATCCACTCTGGAGCACTCCCCACTACGCCGTAATAATTGCTCACGTTCTCGCGCGCTCTCAACGCCTCACCCCCTGTGGCTTTTAAAACCAATTTGGTAAAACCGTCCGACCACCAACAACCAAGTCAACCAGGTCAAAAAGCTGCTCCAAGATGTGTGTAATTAGACGTGACTTTTCCTCGAGTTCTTGTGAAGGGTTTCGGGGTGGCCAGGAGCCGGGGGCCAAATCGGGCCTTAAAGCCTTCTTAACGCTGTTGTTATTTAGAGCTTAATTGTGCCAGGACACGGAGGCCCGGGGATTAGGGATGGGCGCCAATTATGGAGAAGGGGTGAATGTGAATGTGAACTGCCCTTAAGGTTCAAGATGGATTAAAGTCCGCTTCAATGGCTAATCCATGGGGCCGCCGCCCCTTAGCATTGCCCCACTCAACCGCAATTAGCCGGGCAGAAGCTCGATATCGACACATTAGCATCCCCTGCGTACCCGGCATAATCTGATTATCAGCCACCCCCGAGCTCCCGGCCAAAAAGTGCTAATTTGTGCACGGAAATCACGCCAGGAGCACGGATTTCCCACCTCCGTCCGTGTGGGTGTCACCTTCAGCCGACGGTTTCCCTCTTTGCCTTTGTGCAAATTGAAAATATGCCAAATAATTACACATTTTTATGTGAATTTTTCAATTTATATGCCGTCAAATAAACGCTGCGTGCACATCACAGTATTGACATCCAGTTGGGTGGGAGTTACGACCCCTTTCCTCATTTCCCCACACTTTTCACAATGTCGTTAGGAATGCTTCTGGCAATTTATTTATTACAAAATAGCTGACCTTGAAAGCTCTGCCATGGCTTCGGAAAAACTTCAATAGAGGGAGCCACCAATCATAATGTAAGTAACCTCTATAGGGACTGTTTTGGGACATTTTGGTAGGAATTTCCCTTTAATTCGGTTGTGTGGTGAGTATGGGAATGTTAACATATCTGTACCGCTTACACTCACAGTTCTGGGATTTGCTGTTGGTGTGGGGAGAAATATATTTCAGCCTTGAACAATGCTCATGGTGTCTTAGGTGAATTACTACTATTTTTATTGACTTAGTAACTGACACAATGACTAGCAATCGCAGTAAGAGTTTTATTGTCAGGATTTGCAAAAAGGAGCAGAAACTGTGAATGCATTCTTCTCAAAACTTCAAATTGCAAGTCAGTTTTCACTGTCATTTAAATGCTCAAGCGAATTGTTTCTAACTTAGAACACATCAACTACTTCCAGTGGACAGAATTAAAATTAATCCCTTTCTCGGAGTGTAAAAGGGTGTTATCATTACCTTTCCCAAAAAAAAACAAGTTTCAGAAAGCGTAAATTTTTTCCAAATCAAACATTTTGTTAAGAAGTTGATAAGTAATTAAGGACACAAAATGTTTTGCCTCGCAGAATTAGTTAAACCGGACGCCTCAGAAAATCAAAATTTAGTGCACATAAAAAATAATTTGATAGATAGAGAATCGGCATTTACTTAAAAAGTCGACACTTAGGACCTGTCTGTAATAAATTAAGTCGAACCGCCCAGTAAAATTCAATTGTTTTATACTGACTGTTATTTAATGCGTTTACAAATATCTGGGTGTGTTGTACTACACAACATGCACTCAAAAAAACTTACAAAGTTCAGTGTTAATGAAAACCCTACGCCAAAAGCAGGATGTCAGAAACCAAGATCCAACCACCTCCGGGTGCTTGGCTGGTTATTGTAATTAGTTATGTAAGCTGACAAATGCAGTTTTATACATTTTAAATGTACAAAAGGGGATGATGGGATGCGGAAATGATTAGGATACAACATAAATGAGGGAAAAATAAGATCAATTAAATGAACTGAATTATGTGGGGAGCATGGGCAATAGGAGAATTAATGAAATGATTGAGACGCGGGGGCTCTCAGTTTAAGCGCTGAGTGACCGGCAGCTTCTTGCGTCGTCTGCGCAATTGCTGACTGCGATCCCAGTACTCATAGTAGCGTTCCTGTTTCAACCACTCCTGATATTTATACCACCACTCTTCCCACTTGATATAGTCCTGCAACAAAGATATATACCAATTAGTATCTGCTTTAGACTGCAGGTAAAGTCAAACGCTACCTTAAGATCCAGATCTCTTAAGTAACCACGACTCTTGTAGTACTCGTAACGGACGCGCACATCGTCCCACGACAGCATTCCCGACGGTGCTGTGGTGGCCAACTCCTCCGGAAAATGCCCGGCCGGTGCCGGCGAATACGAATAGCGACGCGGCGGCGACTCCAGACCCTCTTCAATCATCACTTTGAGGGCCCCACCCGCGGAGTCTTTGGTGATGCGCATATTCTCCATGTTGCTCCGATCGATGCTCCACTGCGCCATTTTGCCGAACCGCTCCGAGAGCGTCAGCCGCGTCGTAGCCGAGAATGTGGGCAGCGTGCCGACCTCGTCGCTGTCCGAGCCGTTCGAATCGTCCGAATCCGAGGAGGAGTTCGCCGCGTTAGCTCCGGTGCCACTGGCCGTCCCGCTCGGATGCTTTTTGCGTTTCTCACCTTCAATTTTGATGCGTGGCCTTATCTGATGGAAAAGAGATTATAAATATTAGATCAGAAATTCGATTTTAAATGATTATAAAATACTTTGGGGGTGTGAAGCAGATAACATTTAACATTTTAAATAAACTTAAAACGTTTTTGTATTCAAGTTTTATAATTTTTTGAATCAATAATTTTAAATGATATGCCTTTGGAAGTAGAGACTCAAAATTTTGATTCATATTTCCAAGAATTTAAATTAAACAAAAACAACAGATTGTATTTATTTCCAAGTTTAAAACGATAATAATTTATCTCATAAAATATTTGATATATTTTTGTCTTGTTCTATTGGAAGCTATGGGATGTCTTCGCGTACTCACCTCCTTCTCCTTCTTTTTCTTTTTGGCCTGTGCCGCAGGAGCTCCAGTTGGCGCTGTTGCCGGCTCTGGTGGCTCTGGCGGACGGTGCTTCAGACGCGGATCTTCCGGCGGCGGAGAGTGACGCGACGACCGCGCGATCTTCATGTGGGCATCCGACGAAGAGCCGCGATCGTGGCTGATGTGACGCATCTTCGCCTGGCGGTACTTCTCTATGGCGGATACCGACGCGCCTCCACCTCCGCGCACGGGTGGTGGAGTGCTGGGGCGACCATGGATACGGCCATGTGACTCCGACGGAGGGGGCGGCGGCGCCCCCGAACGATAATGGCCACGTGGCTTGGGTGGCGGGGAACGCGGACCGCGGGATCTGCGATAGTGGATAAAAAATGGTTAAAGCAAATGGAGACAAGGCAAGGCACACTATTGGCTTACCGAGATCTATGACGATGACTGGGCGAGCAAAGGGAGCAGGAATCATCGGAGCTGCTACTCATCGAGCTGTTTGAACGCGAACGCATCGAGTGCTGCAAGAAGATTACAAATTAATGTATATTTCTGAGAAACCATTATATTTGTATTTTCTTTTGAAGTTTAAAAAAAAAATTTTAAATCTTGAAAGTTTATTCAAAAATGAAATATCAAATTCATATCTGACTGAGTCTTACATTTTTCGTAACGTTTCAACTTTAAATTTTAAAGCTTTCTTTAAGCTTACCATAAAAACAAGAAATCGAACCTAATTGCATGTTAAATAAAAGTTAATTTATAAAAATTTGTGATCAAATTTGATAAGGAAAGGTAATCAACCTGTGTTCCTTATTCCTAATTTGATATTTTATATCCCTACAAATTTTTATTTCGTTATTTATAAAATCTATTCCTTTCTTATAGTATTTACTATCTCATATAATTTGTTTGGGGCACCCCTAACAAAAGTTTAACCTTAGAGTCCCCCTTGTTGGTCGACTACTTACCCTCGGCGGTGGAGATGGCGGGCGCTTGGAACGCGGCAGGATGTGGGCGACGGCGCCCCGTTTCTCCATTCCCGACGACGAGGGCGGCGGAAGCGGAGGCGACCGTCGTCGCCCCAACGGAGATCGCGACGCGTTGGGCTTGCGTCGCAGCGACGAGGAGGACGAGCCACCACTGGGTTCCGGCGGGGACCGGGGCCGTCCGCCGTGGCCATTTCCGGGGCGACGCATGAGGGCGTCGTGGTTGCTGTTGGGCGAACGCGGCATGGGCGGCGAACGCGGACCGCCGCGGCGGTCCATGCCACCGTGCATGGCCATCGGCGGCGACCGGCGACGCGGGGGCGGCGAAAGCGGCGGCGACTTGCGCAGACGCGACCGACTGCGCGAATGGGGCGAACGGGAGCGGCCGTACCGCTGTGGCGGGGGCGGACCGGGCGGCGGTCCGCCGGTGGGCGGATATCGGCCGTAGGGCGGTGCTCCCCCCTCACGACCTTCGCGGGCGTCGCGACCTTCGCGCTCGCTCTCACCAGAGCTGCTCTCGCCCTGAATGTACATCTTCTTGTAGCCAGTGTGGCGCCATCGATTCGGGTCCTTCTCCTCGGCCTCGATCAGCTTCTTGTCCCAGTAGTCGTTGGTCGTGTTGGCGCGCGCCTTCTTCATCACGTTGTCGATCTCGCGTCGCTTGCCGGCGGGTAATGATGGATCTGCAAGGTTGAGAGGTAAAAGGTCAGCTTCGGTGGGCAGTGTTGGTTGGTGGTGGGCGGTGGGTGATCGTTCCGGGAAGCACTTTTAGGGGCCTGATTAGGGCCCTCAGACATCGCTAATCCCGGCGAGGCAGGGTTTATCCCACATCTAGTTGCTGCTGGTTGGTAGAATTCAGTTTTCAGGTACCTGTTATGCGGGCAGCTGTCGGCTGCCTGTCCATGTGCAGTTTGGGATTCAGTTCGGCGCGCCTGCGCGACGCCATCGCGGTATTTCGGTCTCTCGCTCTGGCAAATATATAGTATATCGCGCACGTATCGTATGTATTTTATTGCCCAAGCGATATTGTTTTTACAATCCCCAATCGGTTAGGGTTTGGGTTTGGGCTTAGGTTTTGGCGAACGCGACAACACACTTTACCATTTCAAAAACATACACAACAAGCTGCAAATATATTACAATTGAATGTAGAAAACATTTAAGAGAGCATTAGAAATGGCTAACTGAAAACAACAACATCAACAATATTGAGGGAGCGAAGAGAGAGGGGAAGAGAGCAGCAGAGAGAGTTGGAGAGCCAGAGAGAGAGTTCGGAGCGCGGGCAGCGAGAGAGAGCGGAGCGCAGAGAGCTGAAAACGTAGAGAGAGTGAAACGCGGACACGTCCCGGCTGCCATTTAACCCATATCGCGGCGTAGTCCGTACCCAAATCGGGCGTTTTGGCCGATTTGCAACCGGCATGCGCGTTCTTTTCACATATGCATTTTTCATTTTTTTTTATTGGTTCACGCACATACACAGACACACTCAGGCACCAGTTCCAATATATTTGCCTTGTCAGCAAGAGCGAGACAGGGCGAGTGCGAGACAGAGGGAGACTCCCGACGACAGCAATAAAATTCCGATTTTAAGCCTGGCGATTATGTAAACGATGTAAAACAGGCACTAGACTAATTAGCTTACATTTGTCAACGTTTGCGTGCACGCTTTTCGATATTTCGTGTGGTTTTAGAGTAGAAAATGTTAAACACGGCGTTGCGTTCAGTTTTTCTCGACGGCCATGTTGGTCAGCAGTGTGACCGCATCGATAACGCTAAAAAATACCATCAGGCCCAAATAAATATAAATACATTAGAAAATACATTAAAGTCGCCCTAACGCGTCACAAACGCACAAAAGCCAAAACCATATAAAACATCGAAATTTTGATGTGGAAGTAATTAACATCATTCTATATCTAAGTAAAAGCTAGCCAAAATGCAGCGCGACGAGAAGCTCTTCGAGATGACGCTGGACACAGTCCTTCAGCGTCTAAGCGACCTAAAGATGGCCGTGCTCTCTATGATCCAGAAGCTGGAGCTGGAGTACGAAACCATTAACTGGCCGACGTTCCTGGACAACTTCGCCATAATCTCGAGTCACCTGACCGGTCTGACCAAGATCCTGGCCAAGGAGCAGTGTCCCCCGCTAAGGAATCGTACCGTCCTACCCCTGCTGGTCTCCATGGACCGAGACGAGACCCTTATAAACATCACAGAGGGCCGAGTGCCGGTCTTCTCGCACGACATTGTTCCCGACTATCTGAGGACCCGACCGGATCCCATTACGGAGCAAAAGATGCTGCAGAACGAACAGAAGGCGGCCAACCTGACCAACGATGCAGCCATGAAGCAAGTCACCCAGTACAACAAGGTCGTCTCCCACGTTCTGGACATGGTCAGCAAGGCGCGCGAGGAGTGGGAGATCGAGAGCTCCTCGCGAACCGGCATTCAGCAGACGAGCAGCATGGCCGACACCCAGCTCCTCGTGGCCGCCGTGGGCATGGGCAAGGGCCTCAAGCTGACCAACTACGGACCCGGTCCGGGTATGATGGTACCGCCCTCGATCCGGGCCCCCTCGCCCATGGGCGGACCCGCCATGAGTCCCGGCAACGTGCAGCAGCAGCTGGGAAAGGCACCTTCGGCTGTGAAGACCAACATCAAGTCGGCCAACCAAGTGCATCCGTTCTCTCGATAGCAAAATCCATGGTTTATTGGCTATAATCGCTTCCTTTTGGCGGAATGTGTCGTCGTAATAAGTTACATGTCCCTAATCCTAAGACTATGATTAAGCAAACATAAACATAAACAATGTCAAGTGGTTTGTCTATTGACTCCCGACTCAGACTTCCTTCGTTTCCGGCTGTGCGTGCTTCTCGCTGATGAGAATCTCGTGCAGCTTAATATCCTTCGGCGTGGAGGTGTCCACCAGTTCCAAGCAGAGTGCCCGCGTTTCGTCCTTCTGTTTGTGTAGGCCCCGCACAATCCCGATGAACTTCTGACCCAGCGTCAGCTCGCGGAATCGGACACAGTTATCCTTGCTCCAGACCACGTCTGCTAGTTGAATGCCTGCACGGGAAATTTGGAATGTTAGTGAACTAAAGGCATTGCATTGATTTTCAACCTACCATATAATTGGGCTGGCAGTGCCATTTTGGGCAGCTTCCTTAAATCCGGCTGCAGTGTTTTTAGTTGATCACATGCAACCACTCCGTCGTCGCCCACATCCACGAAGCGAACGTGTATAATCTCATCGTAAATCTTGCGAATATTTACGCTGCAAGATAATCAAAATACGAAAAATCTTAGAAAACTGAACTTAAATTATCAAATAAGTTAAACCGGCTGGAATCAAAAGGCTTTAACCTACAGCTGGCATACACAGAAATACAAATTTATATGATCGTTTTCATTTCGGCTGTGAATGGTTTTTGAATACAAGAGATTTGCCTCTTATTTTTAATCATTATCTGAACAACAACTAACCGATGATAGACGCCATCGCTGTCGGGGGCTGCATAGGCTTCTCCGATGGCCAGTTGGGATGGCTGGACTCCCTTGGCTGAGGGTCCTTTGCAGTGCTCCTGCAGGTTCTTCATCAAAGTCTGCAGCTGGTTGTAGAACTTATAGGGTTGAACCTGCAACAAATATCGATATTACCTTCAAGGTATTTATTTCATATATCTGGACCTACTGCAAAGTGACCGGGATTGACCGAGAGGACAACGCGCACCTCGAAGTAGGCGCCCACTGCTGGAATGGCCTCATAGTCCTTGAGCAGGAACGACGAGAAGGTGGTAGTTCCTAATCTTGTGGATGCCTCCTTTTGTGGTGTGACCGGCGGAGTGACAAGGTCGCTGCTGCTGCTCTGGCTGGAGACCACAGAGCTGAAGCTACTGCGTCTGGGAAGCTGGACTTTGGAACTCAGGGGCAGGTCATCGCACTTCTCCGGACGTATGGAGCTGTGCGGGTGGGGAATCGAAGGTGGGGCGGGGAAAAGCCGGATCGGAAATGGCCGGGATAATTGGTTTGGAGGTTTAAAAAATTTGCTTGCTTTTGGACTTACTGGGTAGTAATGTGGCAACTTATGAGTATATTTTTCAGATTATATACAGAGATGTGAATGACTTAGTGTTAGCTTACAGTAGGTTTATTTACGGGGTTTTTTCGTTAGCGTTGATCGAATTTGTATTAGCGATAGCCTATCAAGTCAGTTCCAGTTTATCGAAAGCACTAATAGAAACAGCATTAACCAAAGGATTGATTATAATAGTTATGTATGAACTTATAGGGCACCGGTCACGATTCAGATGTCGTTGGGTAAGGAGCTTGATGGTGATGTGAATAGATGACATTGACCATAATGATATAGAATGAATACACAATGCACAGAAGCATCTAATAAGAACACTTACCTTGCCATCTCAAACTCCATGCGAAGACCGATGTTCACGCACATGTACATAGACTCCGGATCCTGACCGCGAATAAACACGTTGACCAATGGCTTTGCGCCATCCTTGGCCACAACCTTGACCTGCAAGAGAAGGTAATATTTTAAAGGTGAGACAGAGAAACATTAGAAATATAAGAAAACATGGAAAACCTACCAAGGCCTCGCTGCGTGAAGGCATCAGTCCGCGAAGACGTCCCAGCATCTGACCCGCGATCTCGGGAACGTCATGCAGGCGAACGGGCAGTGCTTGTGGTGGGAACGTGGCCAGCGCTCTGTTGTTGGCCTCCAGTCGGTAAATGTTGGAGATGTGCGTCTTGCGCTGCCGCCCGTCGTCCACGTAGTATACGTCGAAGGTTTCCTCCTCCGGATTCTGTGGTCTGGTCACCAGTCGCCCGCGGAACCACTGCTTTACGCCTTCGACAGACTCATCACACACGAAGACATGGCGATCGTGGAGAAGGTCAGAATAGTTCACTCGGTCCTGTTCGCCCAGATCAGCCACTGTTTGGGCAATGCTGCGCTCCACAAACTTCAGGTCATCGTTGCGGAGCAGCACCATCAGATCGCCATCCTCGTTGATGTCGGACACAAGAACCGGAGTGGTCTTTCCAATCTTCTTCTCGTCACTAAGCGTTGGTGCTGGTGTACACTTGGTGATCCTGCCGGCAACCAGATCGTTCAAATGGATGTCCTCGGCCGTGGAGGTGTCGTACAATGTGGCCACCAAGCATGCCCGTCGCTTGCCCTTCTCCACCACTCCCTGGGCGGCTCCGCCCAGTTCGAGGAACTGCTTTTCGGTGGTGAGAACATGGGCCACAACCGACTGGCCATCCAGCTCCTTTCTTAACACCGGCTGGGCGTGCGGATGATCCTCGAACTTGTCCAACGCGTACATACTCAGGCACACGGCCTGGGGCGGTAGTACCAGGAATTGCGGCGGGCAGTGGAACAGATCCTCGAACTCGAACAGAGCCACATCGCCAAAGTCCACAAAGTGACAACGACACGATCGCTGCTCCTCATCTACAGAGATCACCCGGACACGGTTCCAGCCATCGGGGATCTCAACCAGATAAATTTCCTCTACGTAAGGTTTGGAAACCTTCTGCCGGAATAGTGGTACCGCCATTTGTCGACCCATGTGCTTCGTCAGCTCCTCAAAGCTGGCTATGTGATCGATCAGCCGAGCCCACACCCGCTTGGTGGAGTCGCAGTGGCTGATAAACATGTTCCAGTCGTGCGATCCACTCTCATTTAATTGCCAGGGCAACATCAGTTGCGGTAATACGCTGCTTGTGCTAATGCGATTCGGTTCCGGAGATCCAGGATCGTTGGCAAACAGTATGATCCTCGGATCAATGCCGTGCTCTACGCGAATTTTGCTCGACTCGATGATCAGATCGTACCAATGGCTGGGCAGGTGTTGCCGGAAGGTGCTGCCATACCAGTCTTCCAACTTATGGCCCAATATGCCATGCGGATACTTCAACAGTTCCTTGTACAATCCGTCTATGAACTCCTCATTGCCAAGTGTGCAAACGGATAGCTTTTGGTGCGACTCGGCGTGCTGGATGCGCTGAATGGCGATCTGGGCTGTGCACTGGTAGGCCGTCTCCTCATCAGTGAACTCCTTCGGATAGCTGCTGTACACAGTGCCATCGATCCGCACTGAACAGTGCAGGTGCGGCGGCTTGTTAAATATGTTATATGTTGGTTTCTCGAACCCATTTGCCTCGCAGTATATGTTCAGCGAGGAGACTGCATCAAAGGAAGCATCACTTTTGATGGCCACCTTTGGTTTCGGCGTGGAATTGGAATTTCCTGCTTTGGTCTGGCTGCCATGTACTCTTAGCACATCATCCTTGGGCGTGGTTTTGGCAGCGGATTTTGTTTGCGCGTTCTCGGGCGAAGCGGGCGGAGTGATGGGCGTTCCCGCTGGCGTAGGAGCATCCGATGGCGGCTTCACTTTTAGTCTATGATTAACTGAGCTGCCCGTGGAGCGCACCATTCCGGGGTGGGTCACTCGCGGATGGAAGGACCGATTGTAGCTAGATTCAGGGGTTTTGAAAACGCTACTTGGAACTTGTTGGCGCTGCGGAGCACTATTGCCCAGGATAGCACGTAGTGGCGGTTTGCCTCCATTGAATTTTCCCTGTCCGTTGGAACTGACATGGTTCTGACCGTGACCATTCATGGCGGGTGCCTTGTCGTTTGCAATCGTTACTAGGATGTTCTCGTGCTCCAACTTTGCAGCTCGCATGGCCACCGGCTGTTCGTACCTTTCTTCTTTATCTTTGCGCTCCTTGGACTCCTGTTCCTTGTGCTCCTGTTCCTTGCTCTTAAATTCCTTTCGTTCTTCCTCCTCTTTTTGTCTCTGGTAATCCCTCCTCAGTTTTTCAAAATCATCCGTTCGCTTTTTGAGTTCGTGCTCCTGCTGCTTCTTAAACACAAGCAGCTGTTCTTCAAGCCGCACCTGGAATTCTTCTTCAAACCTGGTCTGCTCCTTTTTGAGTCTGGCCTGCAGTTCCGTATCGAGCTTGGTCTGCAGTTCTGTGTTAAGCTTGGCCTGCAGTTCCCTGTTGAGCTTAGCTTTCAGTTCTTGTTCAATGGAGACCTTTAGATCTTGGTCTCGCTTGGCCCTTGCCTTCAGCTCTTGTTCTCTTAGATCTTTCTCTCGCTTGGCCTTCGCCTTAAGCTCTTGTTCCTTTAGATCTTGCTCTAGCTTTTCCTTCGCCCTCAGTTGTTGTTCCTTTAGATCTCGATCCCGCTTCTCCTGTTCCTTAATCCGGCGCTGCTGCTCTTCTTGCTGCTGCTTATCACAGTACCGTCTGTTATCCCAACGATCCTGCACTTGCGGCGGAGGATGGAACTGCTGAGGAGCTGGTTGCCGGTACACCTGTGGTGCTTGATGCCAATACTGCTGCTGTTGATAATAGCGCTGCTGCTGCTGGTGAGCCTGATATTGCTGGTAGTTGTTGTTGTTGTAGGAGTGGTAGCCGTGGGCGGCCTTTTGACAGCTTGCTCTTTGGGCAGCTGGCGTTAGTTTCGTTATTGATCTAGACTTGCTAGTCTTCTGCTGGCGCACCATAGACGCGATGTGCTCTGTTTTGGCGTTATATTTAGCGGTGATGAAGATCTGTTATGGAAAAGATGTGGAAATTCGTTAGTTTTGAGGACAATGAAAAGTTGTATAGTTTGATTTCAAACGGATAATCTTGTATGATATTCTTTTTCCTAAATTTCTGATACAAGAGCTTAAGTAGAGAGTTCTAGAGGGTATTGCTGCTCAATATTTTATGTGGTTTTGCAAGAGAAGAATCCTATTCGGTATAATCTTCCCACATTTTATGAGGAATTTATATGGTTTTGGTAAAAGCTAAGTTTTTCGCAATTTTTTAGTTTCAAGTTTAAAGTTTCTAAAACTTAAAAAAAAGATATTAAAGGTTTATAAACCTAATCTAGTACATATCTATTTTCGTTTTGCTTAGTTTGAATGTGAGTGCACAATGAAATGTTCAAAAGGGAGCCCCATATTGTATACATTTGCATCAACTTCTGGGAAAGGAAAGTGGCTCCGCTTGGACAGCTCTCTAGTTTGGGTAATCCAATATGCCCCATAAAACTGCAGAGCCAGCTACTTAGCAGCCAAGCCCGTTGCTGCGGAATTGTTTGGAAATCGGAGTCGTTTGAAGTTGAAATACAGTATATGATTCACATTGAACTGAGTTGTTTTACTGGTGCAATCTTTTTTATAGGGTCGCAGCTCCAAGTGGCGAACAGTGGCGTCTGGATATGGGCAGGGCTTTGAAACCCAAGACGTGATAATGGTGTAGAGCGAGAGCTCGGAAATGCTGATACACAGAATACATAATTGTAGCTAAGCGTAAATAAATGAATATCATCATTTCGCTTCGTGCTGCATCTGTGGGCTGTAAAATTATTGATTTGGCAACAATGCACTTGGGTTGGCCGGAAGAACCCGCCCAAAGCGCCCACTTTCGTCTACAGGTGAGAATACAGACTGCTAAACTATAATAATGCAAAAAGTTCAAGTGTAATGCCCAGATGGACTGACATTTAGAGAGAAAAACAGACGATGGCCAACGTTTGTTCACTTTCACCATGCAATCACGCACACACAGGCAAGTTTAAATTGCTGGCCGTTTCGATTTTCGCGTTATATGTACACTTTTGTTTTTGGCTGCATTTATTAAAGCAAAGCGCTTAATCAGCACGAATCGCAAGCAGAGAAAAACACAGCTCAAGAGAAGGCATTTTAATAAATGCATGTACCAAGCGAAAAAACGAAACTAGACTAAGTAAGATCCATTGTTTACACTTTTCACGGTGGAGATGAAAATAAGAAGGCGCCGTTGACACGTTGCCCCTTTGGCGGAGAGAGCGGGCGGAGCGGTCAGAGTGGTCGGAGCGGAGCGGGAAAGAGGCGGCGCAGCAGCAGCGGCTCACCGCACGCGTTCAGCCAGAGAATCGAACTGAAAGCGGCCGCCACCGCTCGCCAAAAGCTCGTCCGTTAGCGGTGATAACAACTTGGCCGTTTTCCAGACAAATGCAAAGATTAATTGATTAAGATAATCATGGTAGGGCATTTAATTTAATTTTTATCGTTTCAGACATTGAGAAAGATTTTATAAGAGCACGGAAGGACCAGCGTTTATTGATTAGGAAGGTATTGATCTTCTAGACAAATCTGAACGATAGTATAAATCATATTTTTTAAATTTTGTTTATTAATTTTAAAGAAACAAATTAAAATGTATTATTTTTAATACAAACTTTAATTAAAGATACAAAACAGAGCCGCAGTAGACTGGTTTTCGACGATGAAATATGGTATAAATTAACTCAAAGCTGAAAATTACATTTTAGCGGAGAAGGCAACAACAAGTTTGAAATTGTGCGATACTACACATTTTTAGTAGTAAAATGAGGCTTTTTTGCGGTTCCAGAGCATAATTACTCAAATTAAGTTTAGGAATTTAATGTCTGTATATTAAATACAAACGTACTTTAAGTTAAATATTTAGCTTTTTTATTTTTAGCTGCCAGCACTAACAGAGAGATACTCTAAAGTTGCGCACAAGAGAGAGAGAGCAAGCTCGGCTGGGAGAGCGCGCAAAGTGGGCGAAAGAAAGCGACCAAAGTGGGTGGAAGAGAGCCGCTCTCTCTGCCGCGACATGCAGTAATTCGCCATAATCTTGGCAACAATTATAAGTAACTGTGAAAAGCGAAAGGCGTAACAATTCAATTGATTGGGCCATGACATTTACATACCTCATTGCCATAGTTCTGAAAGTTGAACTCATGTGTATCCTGGAGCATTTGCTGGAGGCTCATATACCCCAATTTCCGAAAGGGGATCTGCTCGCCCTCAATGGCCGCGTAATCCCTCACGACGGACCGCAATTCGACCGGCGGTTTTGCGGAAGTGATCAGAGCCCTGACCACCTTGCCCACGTGTTTCAGGATCTCCTCCTTTTCCATTGCAATTTGACCCAAAATCTGAAAATAAACAATCGAAAAATAGTCTATTAACCCATTGGGCATGATTAAATTGGTATGGAATGCGTGGCCCCAACGCCACCCCAAACAGTAACAATCAAGCATGCACGGAACAAAATAAACAGGTGACTGGCTAAGAAAATAATGTAAATAGAATTAGTAATAGATAAGGAGTTATCATCACTTTTATATTAACAACTTGAGACATTTTCATAAATTAAACTCAAAAATTCTTTTATTCAAATAGTATTTTTTTTTAAATGCAAGAGCTTTAGTACTTACCAGTAAAACTTATACCAAGATAAATTCTACATTTGATCACTTAAGATGGCTTTATAACTATTTATGATTTTTAGCTATATAAATATCGATGTTACATTTTATTCAAAATTTCTTTCCGTGTGCAGAATTGGCAAATGCAAAAACAGGCGCACACAGATAAAGCAAATAAGGAAAATGATAGACGGATTGAAGAGAGACAGAGATAGAGAACAGCGGCGGCGCAGCAGCAGAAATGACAAAACAAATTGACGACGCGTCAAATTTTAGATTTCCCCCTTTTTTTAATACCGAAATCGATCTCTGAGAAATTCGAGAACTTCCATAAACCATTTTCCTCTCTTTCCGTTGCTGCGCAGATGGACATAGTGCCGTTACTTGCACCTATATGTAGTTTTAAAACGTATGCATAATTTTTTATTTACGATTGCTTAGACTTACCAAAATAAGAAGTAAATTTAGTAAAATCTCAGCTAGATATGCACTGCAATCTGCATAAACGAGACTTTTTTACCATAAAAAAGAAAATTCAGAATGGCGCTGAACGCGCCGATTTAATTCCTTTTTGTCCTCCTTCGCTTTGTCTCCGTTCGTTTTTTTTTTTACTTTTTCTTCACTTTATAATTAATGAACAAATTTGAAGCTAGAACAGAACTCGAGTGTTCAATAATTCGACAAGTTTTTGTCACACAACTAAAATAAAAGTTCCCAGCTGAAAAAGCGAATAATTTTATTGACGTTTCTGAATTTTCGGCGCCCTGACATATAGAGATGGACAGACATCGATGACAACATCGATTGAATCGATTTTTAAAATCTTCGGTAATATCGATATTCCAAAAATAATTGAGGAAAATATGATATTTTAGGTGACTGCGAATTAAAAGAATTGTTGTTTTTCGTTGACTCTTTAAGTCGGAAACATTATTTGTTAAAGTTGTCTAACGATCCGCAGTTGTTTCCGAACTTATGATCCTAAGCAGGATCAAAAATGTGAATAGGCTAGAATGGTTTTTAAACATCGATAACACTTTTGTGTTTCTCCACCTCAACTGTGATGTGACCATGTTTTAATGCCACAAATAGCTGGAAAATACCAAAAGCTGTCTGAGAACTTTGACTTGGTATTTTAAAAATAGGCGGCAAAATCAAATTTTTTTTGAAAAATATATATTTGTGTTGATACAATATTTCAACAGTAATAAACTTCATACGAGTGACTTAATAGAAGACGCCAGCAATGCCGGGGGGATAGCTATTAGGGGTTGGCTGGTTTTTCTGGGCATAAAATTTGTGTTTTTTCCTTTTTCTCTTCCTCTTTTGGATTTCTTTGCTTGGCTGCAGTTCGTCATCCAATGAGCTCTCCACTCGAATGGTTTTTACTTCGGCCTGGGACATAAGGGGTGGATTCCAGGGGACTTCAGGGTCAAGGACATCCTTCCTGGGCACGGGTTTAACAACCACACTAAGTGCCTGGAGATTAATGCGTCTGTCTTCGGCGGGGGCTTTAGGCTCCAAAGGTTCCTCGGGATCGAAGGGATCCGAGGGGTCAATGGACTCTATTGGCCTTCGAGGCTCCTGCAAGGGCTCCAGTCGAGCGGCTGCCTCCGGAGCAGCTTCAAATCTCTTCGGCTTGATGGGCCTCCTTTGCCTCAACTGGTGCTGGTGCTCCTCCCACACCCGATCTCCCAGCTTCAGCTCTTCCTCCTTGGCCAAGGCCAAATCGTAGAGACTTTCGCTTTGACTTGCCGGTCGTATTCCGAAGGAGAAGACCCGAGTATTGGGCTTAAGGTGTTTCGGTTTCTCCAGTCGCTCAGGCGTCTTTTTCAACGATGGTCTCTCTTTAACACTGGACTCGGACTCCAGGTCAAGGTCCTGCCACGGACAGTCGTCTGCCGACTGACCCAGCAGCTCCATCTCCAGGTAGTTGAGGTTCTTCAGCACCGAAAGAGCATGCTGCTTGGTGGCCAAAATAATTTCCAACATCATCTTGGCAGCCTCCGGCTTTATCGGTTTTGGTTTCTTTGGGTTATTTGGGTTGCTTGGCTTGACCCTTTCCTGGCAGGGTTTTGGATTGGGAGGAGGCAAATCCATGGGCTTGGCACTACGATCTTCGGGTGTGGGATCCGGCAGGCAGAAAGTGGTAGGACCACGGGGTGTGGTGCTAGTGGTCGGCCGACGAGTTGACGTGATTTTTGTGGTGGAAGTCGGACGACTCTTTCTGGCCGGACAAGTCTGGGACTTCAGCGGCACATTGGGTTGGTCCACCTTGGAGCTGATGACTTCGGCCAGAAGATTGGCCGTGGCGACAGCCGGCTTTCCCCTTCGCTCCTTTTCCCTGTAATAACCCAACATTCTTTTGATCTCTTGGTTGACTTCCTTTGAATGCTTTAGGGGATCCTCGTTGAAATGCATCCGGGCCAGGGACTGGAAGGGATCTTCGCGCTCCTGACTGAGTCCGTCAAACATCCCAGGGTCATTTGAATCGGTGGGAATTCGGGAGAAGTCGTCTCTGAGCAGATGGGCGGCATTACTTTTGGAGTCTACTAGGAAGTTTTCACTCTTGTCCCTTCCAGAAGATAATATTTTGCTCTTAGCCCCTATCTGCTTCTGCTCCATGTCGTCCAGCCGTTGGAAGAGTATTTCCGGATCGTTGTGAGATCGCGGCTCCAACGGAGTCAGGTCCCGCCAGTCTTTTTGGTCCCTTCTTTCGCTGCTGAAGTGTCGGCTAACCCACGGATCATCCATATCCGGGGACCGATAAACTGCGTGGCTCCCGGATCGTCCGGTCGCGTGTCCAACGCTCGTCAGGATTGCCATTGCCATTAGTAGAAGTGCTACTGCGCTGTGGCTCCAAATCCGCATTGACATTGTTTTCATCAGCACAACATCTTGCTGGAATTATCGCCCAGTTCATGTTTATAAAATTCGTTGTTTTTTTCCAGTCAAATCATTGACACATTATGCCGAATAGTTGGTTTTCTATTATTTGTTTAAAACAAAATCAATATTAAATAGTTCTTAAATGTAACTTCTGGCCATGTTTAACGCTTCGTATTTCTAAAACATTTTGAACTCGAAATTATTAAATTACCATCAGATCTGGCAAATATACTGTATTTGTATTTATCTAGACTTGTATTGATAAATGGAGGTACTTACATATATTCGCACAATAACTCACACACAATATAAAAAAAACCTTGCTTAAAAATTTCCGACTCTTATTATTGTAGGCATTTAGGATTCTCTAGTTACAGAATTGCCTACTTAATTCCATGGAAAATCCATACTGAATTCCTTACTCACTAAATAATTTAAAAAAATAGATTACCTTTCCTACAAAATGTCTTATTAAATTTAAAAAAGTATGAAACAATAAATTTGTTTTGAAACCACAACCGAATCCAGCCATTGCTTTGAATAATGTATTTGATTCTTGATGCATAGTCTAAAATCATTTAGAGATTATTTTCTTAAAAATAGGTTAAGTATTTATCGAAGGACAACTTGGTTTTTTCCATAAACAAAGAGTCAGTCAGGACAAAACATGACAAACTTCTAAGGACACAGCAATTGCCACGTCGCCTTAAAAGAAACAAAGCATAACGGAAAAGAGGTATTGGAAGGTTATTGGAAATCGGTCTGGAAATTGGAATAGCGTTGCTGATTCAGTTCCTTAGGCACAGTCGAGTTTTTCACGTTCAACTGTGCAGCACATCCTTGCAAAATAAGGACAAATTAAAAGGATATATAAGAGAGGAAATACTGAAATTTTCAGTATTCTAAGAGTTCTCGAAACTCCATCCAAATTCAGTGCTACAACAAGATTTCGCGAGTTTTGTACTCTTACTTAAATGACACTCAAACGCAAAAGGCATAAAAACTAAACGTTAATCGGGAGCCACATAATACGTTTTAGCTAAATATCAACCGGAATAGTGCCGTTTCGAAAGCTAGTGCGATATGACTGTCCTCAATATGCACACCAAAATGATAATATTGATTTTATTTTTCTACAACGGTTCCTACAACTGGAGTAAAAAGCTGTAAGAGGTGTTAAAGACCCCTGTACCAATCTCATTTACTTCCTGCGGCAGGCGGCGTTTGATTTTGTGTGTGCCGTCCTGCGAGTTAAAATAAATAAGGTAATGAGCCCATTGGTTCCCAACTCCCTTTATCGATTTTGCCATTCGGCCTTTCACTTGGCCGTGTTCCCCACTGCAGTTCAGGCCCCTGCCCACCACCAAAGTGCCTGCGGTAACCAACACCAACGGCAGACAACAAAGAAATGGTCAATAAAAGTGCGCAAGAGCAGGGCATCCCCGTCCACAGTGGTGGATCGGAAAATGGGACTAGCCAGGACGATTTGAACAAATGGAGTCGGAAAATAATAACGTTATAGTCTAAATACTGCTTCGGTACAAAATATGTTCTGTCAAAGTGGACTCGTTTATAAAGACAGATCAATATATTTCTATATTTGTGGGATACTGCATCCACAATCTCAAATAACCTATGCTGTGCTTTTAAATTGATTTTTACTTTCGGGTAAAGGGTCATTTTTGTGTCCAGATTGGGATTAGAATGTCAATTTTTCATGTATCCAATGGATTAAACAAAGTTTAATTGATCTAGAAACAATTTAGTTTTGCAAATTGAAATGTTTTAAATGGTTCTAAAAATATTTTTTATTTATTTGACAATTAGAAAACTATTTAATAGTGGCTAAATTTCTTTTATTTTATTTGCAATAATATTTCCAGTGTCAATATAGTTGTTAATTATTGGTAATTTAAAAAAGGTCACGTTAAGTAGAATGTTATTAAGATGGTAGGGTCACATTTTAAGGCCCTTTACTGTCTCAAACCAATGCACTTTGTTTTTGTTGCGCTTTCCTCGGCTTCCAGTCTCTGTTCCAATTGGAATTTCCACGGCTTTCCACAGCACATGCGCCTTGGCATCCTGTTGTTTTGATAGTAAAAAGGACAAAGCCTCGCTCACCAATACAACAGGCTAGTGCAGTTGTTTACAAATACGCACGCCAGACACGCGACACGTGGCACAAGGCAGTTCCTGGAAAGCCTCGGGTCATGGGTGTTGGGTGGTGGGAGGTGGAAAGGGAGGTCCCACCACCCCATTTTCCCGTTCCAAAGACCGGCCGGCTAGGCCGACCAGGCGGATGAGCAATGTCTCCCAACGGTGACGTCAGAGCTGCCCAGCGACATTGAACTAGTTTCATCAGCATATTGCCCGCATTTATCCAGTGACGTCAATGGAGAAAGCCTGAGACTAAGCCAATAAAGCAGTTAGCTCGACCTCCGAACTTTGGCTTCCGCTCCGCTGAAACTCATTCAATACCATTTGCTGCCAATTGGTATTGGCCTGCCTCGTAAATCGTCTGCCACACAGCCCTGAGCTTCTTTTGCGCAGCGAATTCATTAACTAATTAACAAATATGAAATCGAACAATAATTTATGTGAAGCATGCCAACTAAATCGATTTTACGTTCCTTCTTTGCAATATGGTTTTACTTCTCTATCCATTTTCAGTGCATTTTTAGGCTCAAATCAAAATTTATTGCCAAATTCCAGACAATATTTTAAAAGCAAAGCCAAATTTGCTTAATATTTATTTGCCAATAAAAGAAGAATATTAAAATTTGCTTTAACTATGCAATTGTACATTAAAATTTAATGCATATGAACATTTTTGAAAAGCAGTTCAGTTGTGATATGAGTATCTGATTTTGTATATTTGCTACTTATTTATCAACCAAAAAAATACATAGAAAACCAAAATGTATTGAGCTCTTAATCGCATAGAAAAAAAAGAACGAGTCACAAAATAAAAAAAAAACAATAACTAAATAAAACTTAAGCTCTCGAATCTCAATAATAAAGGGCCATGCTTTTGTAATTGCAAGATTACTTTTCCGATAACTATATTTATAGTGTTATGCGTTAAAAATACAAACAATCATAAATACATAAATACACGCATAATCTTTGACTTCCTTCACAAAGTGCGTAGTAGCGTGCCTTTTTCGTCGAATTCGTTATCAATCTTTATAACTTTCACGTATTTATTAATCTTCCAAACCAAAAGCTAATAGAGACAAAGTGGAAATCTTTAAAAGTAGGCACTTTTGTGGTTTTAATTAGTGTTCATCTTGCCTGCTCGTATTCAATTGCAGTTTTTCTAGTTTCGTTCTCATGACTGACCTTGTCTAGAGCAATGTATGTACATATTTACATACATACTTTTTACATATGTACATACTTAATTCAAATTGCACCATCAAAAATGTTTGTCTAAATCTCGGCAAACAAAACAAGAATTTCATTACGGCGCAGATATACAGATCTCGACTATATGGCGGCTATATAAAACGGCCCACACAGGCGGCGGAGGTGCATGGTGCAGCGGGCGGAGGGGGCGTGGCAGTCGGCCTGGTTGGCACAATCTGTGAACAACAACAGAAAAGCGCAACAACTTTGGCATTGTTCCGTGTGCTGGGGCCTCGAGAAAAATGGGATCACGAAAGTTGCGCCAAAGGCGCCCTAGGCCTATGAATTTGATAACAGTAAATGGTCGAATGAGTGGATATACCCAATATAATTCACTAATGAGAACTTATATATACCATAGATACCAGTTATCTAAATTAGGTTAAAGATAAGAATAAGATCGTATAAAGCCATCTTTGATGCGCATCCAAGCTACCATCTATTAATATTTAGTGTAGTGGTGCGTAAGTATATTTAATTATCTAGGCGGTTTTCATCACTTGTCAATGGCGACTTGGGTACAGTTTATGGATGTTCCACTGTATTTAATTCTTTTGTTTTCGTAAACAAGTACCCAGGCAAAGCCCATTGGATGCCAATTAGTTTGTGACACTTATAAAATCCTGGGGCGCATAAGCGTTTTGTTTATTATAATAATAAGTATAGTTGGCAGGCGTTCGTAGGGCGCCCTTTTCCCACCCACTTTGCCCCCAGGACGACCTTGGTTGCTTGCAACCAGTTGGCATTTTGATTGGCTGCCTTATGTGGCAATGTCCCTATCCCCCATCGGATTCGCTGAGTATTCATAATGTATCCATGTCAGAATCTGGGGAGTGCATCGAGTCGGATAATAAAAGTGGAGCGCAGGCAGGAGAAAACAAACTCCCGGGACAAATTTTCCACTCCGTCGGTTCAAAAACCCAAGGTTTTCCATGCCAAGGGGACCACTAGCCATAAAAATAAATCTTAAACAACGGTTGACTCAGTGTGATAAGACCTAGCAACTAAAATCAAAGTAAGCAAACAATTGCGTGACAGACTGTTTATCGCGATTTCACCAGACCAAATCAGAATTTATTTTTATTTGTTTATAATGCTTAACTAAGCTGAACTTATATCAGACTTCCCTCCTTTCGTTGCAGCGTTCCTATCCCAACACCAGTCGCCTAAACAATAACACCCAATTTGTTTACTTACGAATCGAGGGAGCAAAACAAAAATCGAGCTCCCCTTATCTTTTTGTGGAATTTTTCAAGCTTTTTTGCGTCACAAATTGAAATATTTTGAGTTCGCGCGAATAAAACAAAGTCGAAACCGAACCGCAGAAACTGTGTCAGTCGCAGTCGCAGTCGCAGTCGCCGTCGCCGTCGCCGTCGACAGAGCTCCGACTTCCACATAGATTCCCCGATCGTTTATATAGCAGCGGACCGCTCTCGATTTTCATCAGTCGCTACGCGTCTCTCGTCGCCAACGGACCTCACCACACGGCCTTAACCAGCGGAAAAACCAGGGGAAATCGCTCGAAAATAGCCAAGTGCAAGTGCATAATATAGAACAGCACCTAGTATCCAGCACCCAGTGTCGAACAAAATCCTCTTCGATGTCGATTAACTCGCCAATATCGTTAAAAAACTCGGACCTGCATTGAACAGGCAAAGGCGACCTCTAAACACAAACAAATTGTGTAAGCCAAAACATTAGAAACAAAGCCACGGCAAAAACCGCAAACAACAAGTTGTTTGCTTTTAGTTCGCGTTCCCCTTATTTTATTTTCCTTCCGTTCGGTTTTCCACGCACGCGCGTCGAGAAAAATATTGAAAATACATCGACAGTTGAAAAGCAACTGTTGCGTCCTACCAACCGAATCGAACCCAAATTATCACAGACTTTTAAGTGGTAACACGAAAACCGCAGAGAATACCAAGTTGTGTGTGAAAAAAGCGAACTAAAACCAAGATCTTAACCAGGAAAACAACAATTTCGTTTATTGGGCTTAGGCCATTGTATGGGTAAGTAATGAAACCAATCAGGGGGATTTTACATAGTATTCACTGGGGAAATACAATAGATTGCTCAGAACTTAGAAATAGTTATGGGGATCAACTAGTATACAAGAAAGAAATTATTTTTAGACAAAATTCTTAAAAAGAGTAGAGATAGCATGCCATTTCCGTATAACAAAAAAGTAATTTGAATACACATATGTAAGGACAGAGATTACTAGAAATGTATTGCCTAAAACCTGATTTAACTACAAGTCATTTTACTGCCTTTCTTAGTTATTAATCACTCTGCTCAAAAATAGATACTTTATTGAGAAAAAATTTGTATAATTCAGTTGTAAGGGAAGAGTCTGTAAATATGAGGAATAATATCGTCTGACTCAAAACAAAGAAGATTACTCAGAAGCACGGAATGATGAGAACAAAATCACATCACCGCGGGTCATAACATAAACAAAATGCTATTTACGAACCCATTGTACGGTTAGAGAAAAACAGGAAAAATAAACTTCATAGACTTCATGGACTACACTTTGTAGTCGGCCACTCTCACATCCGGTGATTCACGTGTAATTAGCGGCAATTGCGCGTGCCTGAAAATATTTTGAATGTGGCACATATGCACATATGTGGAGCCAGAAGCCCGAGCTTCGAGCTCTACTGAGTCACATTACAAACAAAGCAAATCCACGGCGCAGAATGTCTAATCAAAAACATACGACCGAAACCACAACAAGATAAGCGCATGACGCTATTCGAGATTTCGTATAAAGTCACATGCTGTGCCCCCTGACCTCCATTCTCCATTCTCCATTCACTATAGACTTTAATTTGCTGGCACGTGGACCCTTTCTGGCGCAAACATTGTCGCTCTTTATGTGATTGCACTTATTGTGTTTTATTGGCAAACTAACAAATGCTGGCAATCAGCACTTGAACCTCATTTTAGAAGTCCCCGCCCATTTCCTGCCTCACGGTGATAACAAGTACTTGCGTATGGACATTGAATTGTCGAATGGCAATTGTTTATTGCCCGCTAGACGTTCGACGTTCGACTGTACTGCCAGATGATTGGCCTCCCTGGCAACACACTGGCCGAAAAACTAGGGACCAGCCAGCCAGATGGCTGATCTGTGTTCTTGTACCTAAGGGGGACTGGTCACTTGACTTTGAGAAGGGCAGACTTACCTGCGGAACACAGCTAATTACGAAACTGCGGGAGGGATTTTCCCTAATCAGTAAAGGGATCAGTATGGGGTTAGGTCAAGGGTCTGACATGAAAAATTTATAATCTTGAGTGTACAATTAAACTGAGGGACCAACAAGTCATCTGTTTAAAATAGATTTATATAATTGATATTGCAGTGAATTATCATTGTGTACAAACAAGAAATATACAATAGTCTTTTAATGCACCATTTCTCAATGTCATGTTAGGGTTCTAGTTCGTAATCTGTCAGAGAACTTAGAATCTAGATAAGAATTTCCAGGCAGATAAACTCCAACATTCAATATAAAACCTCGTTTTTATTCCGTATTAAAATAACCCTTTTTGCATTTTCTCTATTGGTTCATATAAGATTTTAGTCAAATATTAACATGGTTTTAATTAATTTTGTTATTACATATAATAATTAAATTCTTATTTTCAAAGTAACATAAGCAATACATTTTTATTGCGAAAACATAGGAAGATTATGTTAATAAGATCGAAATTAAAAGTTTTATGTCCGTTGGGAAAATAAGTATGGGAAAGTATTCATATTTTAAAATTTATGGGTATAATGTGTATAGATTAATGTGTAGTTTTAAACATTTTTGGAACTGGAAATATGTATGACTAATTGAGTAGGCAGTGTAGTATCTTCCTTAGTATTAGATTCAGGGCAGTCAGTCAAGTACCGACAAATAAAAACTTTTCTAATCCACTGCTTCCTTTGTCATTCCCCTCCGCCAACAGATCAGTCTAAACCAACGACGAAATTTGGAGACGAGCCGGACCTCCTGTTCAAGCGAGCGCAGGGCCGGATTAGTCTGATCAGTGCAGGAGTAGGAGCCACGCAGGCTGGCCAAGCTGCCCAACCACCGCTGCATTCAAGCCAACAGTTCGCCAACATTCAACTAGACGCCACGCTCAATGACTGCGAAAGTGGCTATGTGCCCACCGTGGGCCGCTGGGGCTCCGAATGGCCGAGTTGACTCGCCGCTGCCACCAGCCACCGACGGGATGGGGGAGCGGCTCCTCCACTGGAGGAGGCCGCTGCCGCCGCCGCTGCCCAGGATCCGTTGCTCCCGGCGGATCAGCAGCTGGCGGATGCGGTGCGCGGAATGGGACAGGGATTGACTACGACGCGATCTGTCGCCGCAACTGAGCACGCAACTGGACATGGCACGGGCGCCATCCGTCGCACACCCTCCACCTCCAGCGAGGAGGACCTGGAGGACGAGGAGCTGGTGCATCCGACCGACCTGACACTGGTGGATGGATCGGAGCGCTACTCCGACATCAGGCAGCTGCTGGCCAAACAGCAGCTCGGGATCCCAATCTCCCATGCCGAGTGGGTCGTGGGCGATGGCTACGACCTGGAGGCCTTCAACCAGGTGAACGGAGTGTGGCCCCTCGGCCATCCGCTCCCTCTGCCCGACTGGGCGAGCTCCGAGTCCGGCAAGGGCACCCTGGTGTTCGACAACGTCTGGCAGTACGAGGAGCTGAACGGGATCGTGGAGACCACGCTGCAGCGGATGCTGGAGGAGACGCACTACAACACGGTCAACCTGTTCGTCGACTTCTATCGCAGCTTCAAGCGCACCCGTCGCTCCGACCTGCGCAGCTTCTTCCAGTTCTACGACGTGCCCATCAACAGGCGCCACCACATGTGCGTATCCCTGGCCTTCGAGATCATGGCCAGGATAGTGCAGCTGTTCCCGGTGCTGGCCAACTACCTGTACGTGGTGTCCTGCGAGGAGCAGGTTATGGACTGTCAAGACTACGTCCAGCTGGACGAGGAGTGCGGTCTGAACTCGGTGGACGCGGGCGTGGAGAAGGAGCACGTGATGGTGGCCATGCGCGTTGCCATTGGAGAACGACGTGGTGTCATGATCCTGGATCCGGGATACCATGTCAGCCGAGCAGTGACCGTAATGCAGGATCAGAGCTATCCCCACACGGGTGAGTTTGAAACCCTAATGACCCCCTTCGAAATGGGTACTAATCTTTAATGTTTTCAGGCTGGTTCACCCAATCCAAGGAGCCCCACCTGCAGCGGGACTATTGCTATGCGTACAGCCAGCAGAACGGCAAATTCGTGGAGTGGAAGGAGCGCGAGATCCGCGGCGAGGACACCAGCTACAAGACCTCGCTGGTGTACGTGGCCCAGGAGTACATCACTGCGATCGACGTGACCGTGCGCCGCAACCTGGTGTACAACTTCCGATCGCTGCTCTCGCGGGATGCCAAGGGTCAGGTGTACGCGGGCATCTATTTCCCGCTGGTGGCCAATTGCCAGGAGTCCTATCTGACCATCTTCTACGACGGACCCAATGAGCAGCGGGTGCGGACGAAGCTGATGTTCAGCGTCTTCAAAGTGGGCAAGGGAAAGGTGAGCAGTAACCGTGGGAATGACGAGGAGAAAGAGTTTGCTAACCCAGTTCCTAATCCCCTCCAGCTGCCGGATTACGTGGGCCAACATCTCAGCCGACTGGCGCCGCAGCTGAAGATGCCGCTGCAGGAACTGACCGAGTTGTGTAAATCCTTGGCCGACGTGGTCACCGATCAGAACTTCATCGGTCAGGTACTGGCCATCAACGACGACATCGGCAACATGTCCGTAGAGAATTGACAGTTAAAGGAGCCTAAGGATGTCGCTGCTACGGAAACGGAAACGAAGATGGAGAAACAGGCGATAAAAGACACTGACAACGCAGCTGCAACTTAGAGTTCCGACCCTTTGAATACTTTGTCCTTTCCACAGTAATATTCTTTTTAGTAGCACCTAGGCACCTCTCACACACCAGCACACACGATTCAAGGATATATTTCAATTTAGTCTAGTATATATTTCAAAATATGTATTCACCTAAACACACGAAAACACACTCTATATGGTAATCCCAATTGAATGATTTAACCGAAAGCGAAACGCAATTTAATCAAAACCAGAAAAGCGCAAAGCTTAGATTTCGACTTTCGCTTAGCTTCTGTTTATTTCCAACTAAGTATATGCGTATGCGCAACTATATAAAGGCAAAATTAGTTTATAACTGGTATCGAGGCAAAATATAAATTGTAATTGTTGTATGAACAAATTTCCGTTTTAACACTTAAATGCACTGTACGATTTCGTTTCAATAAATAAATCAGCTAGCAAAAGAAAAATGAGGTTTCATTTGGGGAATGGTTGTTATTTAAAATTATTAAATAACTAAAATAATAATAATAAAATAATAAAATAATTAGTTTGAAACACAAATTCAAAAATTTGGGATAGTAAAATTTTTTAATTTGTTAATTGGCAATGGTACTTAAATTCATTTACGTAATTATTTAAGCATACAATTTACTCAGATATTTAGAGTAAAATATAATATTTGTGTGTTCTGGACACCCTTACAGTGAAATACATTTTTTCGTAGTTTTGGGTATCCACTGGAAATACAAAATAATGCTTTTAAAACATTTTAAAATTTTGAATTTCGATATTTCATGAACATCTTATCGATAAGTGGGTTAACAGTTTGTAAACTTAAAATAACATAATACTTTAACAGTTTGGTATTTTTTCTGTCAAAACAGTCTATAAACTATATTTTGCCAGAAACTAATTAATGTATTAAAAATATCAATATACGTAATTGATGTGACTCAACATATAATATTTTGAAAAGGCAAATTTTACATTACTAAAAATATAATAATAATTATTATTATCATCAAACATCGAAAGTCGTAACAACAATCGATAGTTAAGATAAGGTGAAAACATCAGTGCATCCCTGGTCCGTCAGTGTATTCTTCGCTCGTCTGCAATTTTGTAATTAAATAGATTCAAATCAGCGTTTTTGTAAGTGCACATACAGGTAAATACACCCCGCCCAATTCCTCCATTTGTCGCTTTACAAAGGTGATGGCCTACATCAGCTGTTTTTCGTGCGATCAGCCGGCGAAAAGGTAAAATTCACCTGTTGGCCAACAGCAAAAAGCCAAACAAAACAACAAAAACAATCGTGAATCAAGTTCTTGGCAGAAAGGCGCGCAATTAAAACTAACGTTTAGTTCGCTTTTGAATTTCTCGCGGAGCGGTTGTGGCAACAAGGGCCCGCTGAATAAACCGGTTTCGAACTCTTTTAACTGATTTTCGAAAACGTGATAAACAACCAATTAACCCCTTAATCGAAGGGTGCCAGTTATTAGCATATATATAGAAGCGCAAGTGCAGTTTCGCCTGCGCCAACTGAATTGAAGGTAAAAATTGAAAACGTTTGCAAGGGCACCGCCAGCAACAACAATAGAAAAAGAAAGTTAACCATATGCAGCCAAATTAAAAACGACCACAGAAACAACAACAACCACGACAGCAACAATAAAACTGCTAAGCTTTTGCTTTTTTGTTGACGGAAGTCGAAACTCTTGACAGCACGTTCGTACACACGGGAAAACTGTTTATTTCGGTGATCTCATTAACGGCTTTTCAATCATAAAAAATGAAAACATGACAGAAACATTTAGTTAGAAACCTATTATTTTTAATTTTTCAATTAAGGGCTATAAAGACAAAATTTCTTAATCCTAGAAAACAATGAATTTTTTAGAATCTTTGAACTCCTTTGTTTAATTATTAAAATAAACATTGTTACATTTTTTCTATACATTTTTTTATAAAACTTTTTGAAAAGTATTTATTAATTCAATTAAACACATTATGTATTATTTAAAATACAAAATAATTAAAGTATATTTTCCAAATGAATAATATAGAAAAGAAAATTAAGTGAAAAATCTATTTTTTTCGGTGTACTATGTCAGGTCGACAATCCCCTTCCCCTTTCAAGAAGCTGAAGAAACCGACCCTCGTTGTTGCTGTTTAGCGCCTCAGTCATTTTCAGCTTTGGCCCCAAATTCACTATTTTGGCCCCGTTCATTGGCTTCGACTCTAAGCTCGGTTCTTCAACTTTCATTCCGCCGCTGTTTAAGTTTTTAATTTGCATTTTACGAGCACACCTTAGCCGTTCTCCCGCTGTCTCTTAATAAATGCGACAAAGTGACTTTCGTCAGGTAGCATCTATCTAATTAAATGAATTGTTTCCCCGCCCAGCTGAATATTAAGACTCGAGTGCACCGCCCAAAGCGAGAGTGTAGTTGGCAGGGCAAATATGCACAAGTCTGTGGCCAAACAATTGAGTCGCTTTATAAGCCCGGCTAACGAACGTTCGAAATTGCTGGGCAAACACGAAAAGTTCCAGCCGAAGAGGCAAAAACTAAAGCTGTTTGAGGGCCAATGGGGCTATGCGGAATATGGAATACACTAACTGATATTAACTCACACAAAATAATATCTGTATTAATCACAAATTGATTATTCAAATACTAAGCCTAAAGGTTTCTCTATTTGAATTAGTTAAATCGCATTTATATGCTACATACAATTTTTATTTTACTATAGAAATTAAAAGGCTCAGGAGCCAAAGATTACTAAAAATTATCTGTAACTTTGGTATAATAGTTACGTTGGCTAAACGTTTAGAAACAGACAAATTAAGTCGAATTGGAAAAAGTATCGGAATATTTTCGAAAAGAAAGACAAATTTTGTGTAGACTTTTCAATAAACCCGTTTGTCTTTATCAATATTAGTAGTCCATTTATTTTAATTATTTATCTGAATAGTCGTTAAAACTAAACTGCAAACAAAATTGCATCCATAAATTCACCCTACAAAGTGCTCTTTATCTGTTAGGGTAACGTATTATAGAGGAATGATAATTGTGGAGGGTTGACTATTCATAGCTAAACCGTGAGACGAATCAATTTTCCGCAATCCCCAAGAATCTACAACGAGTACGGTCAACAGATACATATACCCGCTGGCAGTCGGATTGAGAAATCTTGCTGACTCAGTTGAAGAGTGTCGCAAAGTGCACTTGAGGCGAATTGACTCGCCAATATTGATAATGTTGCCGGCTAATGGCTGTGACGAGCCGGGATCGTTGCTCCTTATCAGCGGGCGCACTTTGCCCTGACCATTCAGAAAGCCGATTTCTTATCAAGACCCGTATTCCCTTTGCAGAGTTCCGGACATACGGACCAATCATGCTGGGCTCTTTGCTGTGGCTCTTTTTCGTCGGCCTGCTGCTGTGCGCGTTCCTGTTCTCAAAGACCACCAAGGAGTTCCCCAAGTCGTGGTTCGAATGGAAGACGGAGTTCCGGTACCAGTACCTCGGCATCGTGGGTCTCGTCCACGACGCTCAGTACGCGGCGCGGGATCGAGTGGGTAAGTGGATACCCCAATTCCCTGATGCTTATCCCACGGCCGCTAATTGTCGCCATTATCCATTAAGCACTTTATAAGCAACCGGATCGCATTGCTGTCATCACGGGAGGCAATCGCGGCATCGGACTGCGCATCGTGGAGAAGCTGCTGGCCTGCGACATGACTGTCGTCATGGGTGAGTTGAAGTTGACCAATCCGCCGGGGAACTTGTTTTGGCCCTATCCATTAGTCGTTGGTCTGTTTATTAATTCCACAAACATTTTACGTGCTGCAGTGCACGTGCTCGGAAAGCATAACTTAACCGAATCACCGATCATCGAAATGCAGGTCCATCTGCACCGTGTCTCCCACCATTGTCAATCCGATCAAGAAATCATGATCCACACGCCTGATTTCATTACCTAAGCAAGTCGCGCACACGATTTCGGGGGAGTCGAGCGATAAGAGTTCGATGACTTTTAAGGGAAAATTTTTATAATAATATTGATAGTGACAAGTACATTCGGGCTACAGATTGTTTAATATTGTTTTATATTAAGGCAGTAAATAGTGTCTTTGATTATACCTTTAAAGTTTCAAAGCAGAATTTACATCTAATTCTATGAAACCATCATCTAATTAATTCCGTCAACAGGCTGATAATTTAACAGTCGACTGTTAATTTTTACATTGGCCGATGATCATATGTGTACTTTACACGTGTAAAGTCAATAGTATACACAGGTTCCGCCGAATAGCGCCAGATGTCGCCACTGTGTGGGCATTTTGTTAAAATGGTGTAGATAACATAACAAGCATTTGTTATCTGAATCAGCATTTCAAAGGCTATTCTAAATTTGTTGAGCAGTTTGTAATACGGTATTTGTAATTTAATTAACCTAGGAAAATATATATTTTTGATCGTCTGTTGACTGTTCAATATGGACATGACCGTTTGTTTCTAAGCGAATTTATCCTTTAGTTTAAAGTCTATCTGATCATCTATTTTCAATTGTATTTTATCGGATATCCTTTAGCCATCATGTCAACGAAGATATGGTATATGCTTAATTATGAATGAATTTCACCAACGAACAGTTTTTCAAAGCTATAATTTTGCTTTCTCATAACATTTTAGTTTTTTCAAAATCCGGCAATGTTTTCCTATACCTTATACAAAACCTAATTTTTATTTTAAAATTAAAAATTGCGTTTTAGTCGAATGTCGATTAATATTCACTGCACTAACAGCAACCAAATGCGTCTACTAATTTCAAATTCCGTCGGATTTCCCCTGGAAACTCTTCCCAAATAAATAATTCTTTAAAATACTATTTATACAAGATATGTGTATTCGCCGCAGGTGTTCGTGATCCTCGAAGCGCTGAATCCGCCGTAGCATCTATAGTGGACCTCAAGACGACCAAGGGGAAGCTCATCTGCGAGCAACTGGATGTCGGGGACCTGAAATCGGTGAAGGCCTTTGCCCAGCTCATCAAGGAGCGGTACTCGAAAGTGGACTTGCTGCTGAACAATGCCGGTATCATGTTCGCACCCTTCAAACTCACAGCCGATGGCTACGAGTCGCACTTTGCCACCAACTTCCTGGGCCACTTCCTACTCACCCACCTGCTCCTGCCCCAATTGAAATTGGCGGGCAAGGAGGGAAAGAATGCCAGAATCGTCAACGTCAGCTCCTGCGTGAATCTCATTGGACGCATCAACTACAAGGACATCAACGGAACGTTAGTTTAGCTTACACACTCTAAGGTTCTTGACTCATTTGGCATTACTTTTTTTGCAGGAAACATTACTACCCAGGAACCGCCTACAGCCAGTCGAAGCTTGCCCAGATTCTGTTCACCCGCCATCTGCAAACGCTGCTGGATGCGGAGAAGTCGCACGTCCAGGTCAACGTAGTGCATCCGGGCATTGTGGACACGGATCTCTTCGAGCACTCGGCCACCACATCGGTGCCCATCTTCAAGAAGCTCTTCTTCAAGACACCGGAGCGGGGATCACGCACAGTGGTCTTCGCGGCCATCGATCCCTCCATCGAGGGTCAGGGAGGCACTTACCTGAGCAACGGCGGCAAGGGTCCCTTCCATCCGGACGCCAAGAAGCCTGCCAAGTGCGAGCAGCTCTTCCAGTTCTCCTCCGATCTGCTGAAGATTCAGCAGTACGGAAACGGCGAATTCTAATAGCATTGTAATACACGTCCTTTCACATTCCCCCCTCTACTGGTGCAACGTACTCTTCTAGATTCCGTCAGTTTTTTTGTAAATCGATTTCTTGTATGGCTTTGTATAAAACTAATTTTTATATAGATATGCAGCTGGTTTTCTGTGTCCGGATCCTAGGAACTACTGATGCTAATCTGGCCGAAGTGCTGTGCTAAGTTTTAATTAACTTGTCTTCGCTTGATTGCCATCGGGGGGCAGAGAATGCAATTAAAAGAGCAGCACAGAGCAGCAAGAAACATTTTTAAAATGCACTCGGCGGCAGCTTGAAAGGCGACAACAACAGCAACAGGCCATATTTGTTATATGTCAAATTTACGAAAAAGCAAACAATTTAATTTTGTGCGCCTCCTCAAACAATGAGCGATTAACATTCAACATTTCGGAGGAATTTTAATCGACTCCAGTTGTGGGCGGGAGGGAAATGGGGGTCCCAGGAGAGGGGAGCGGGCACTCAGGTAGGTGGGCAGGTAGGTGTATCATCTTAAAAACAGCTAAGAAACAACAGCAACAACTCGGCTGTCACTTAAGCGAACTGAGCGCTCAAAGCGAACGGAAAAAAAAACAATCTCATATTTAATGCACATCCAAAAGAGTCTATCGCTATATGAAGAGATAGACCCGGCGATAACTCAATGTGTGAAGCTGCCGATGCGGTGGGCGCTGTCATCAATCAAAGCCTCAGTGGACGACGACGGCCCAGATTCCCAGGCTGTCTTTAATGCGGAGTGGAGTCCCAAATGAACTCATCTTCTGCGGCTCTTTTTGTCGGTTGCATGTTTCGCGAGCATTAGCAGCTTGATTGGATTTCGGCTAACCAAGATCACTGAAGACGCCGGAGCAGGGATAAGGATTAGCGAAATTGGGAGATATGTATAAGAGTTATATTTTAAGAAAACAAAAAATATTCAGATACAAATTGACCACTCAAAGCTTGCTTTTTGGCCTTTTCTAAAGCAAAACGTTTGCATCACTATTTAATTCAAAATATAAATAATTAATTTTATTGATAATTATATTAAAATTCTACTTAAATGTTCCAATACATATTTTTTTTACATGTTATATAAAATAAAATGAATTGTGGCATGTCTCAAATTAATCGTCATATTTAAGTATTTAAAATGGTTTCCAAGTTCGGTTAAAGTTGTTTTTTTAATAGGAACTCATATCTAATAATTGATTTTCCAAAATCGTCGCCCGAAGCTGTTTAAAACTTTAACAGCGTTTTTATGTAAGCTCGGCCATAATTTTTTTATTTCGTTCTAATAATAACCTTGTTAAAAAATTCAGTTTATGCGTTAGTTGTATGTGTTAAGAATAACATAAACAAGAAAGAAAGCTAACTTCGGGCGGAGCCGAAGTTGAAATACCCTTGCAGAATATTCTGTAAATTATATTCTCCAAAATTATTTATATGATGCATTGTTAACACTCATAAAAATCCCAACTTCCTAACTTTAAAAACACCAAAGTTATGGCATTTCCAATCGTTCAGTTATATGGCAGCTATAGAATATAGTCGGCCGATCCTTATGAAATTTGGTATGTCGGATTGATTGGCCAAAAATAAAACCCATAGAAAATTCCAACTTCCTAACTTTACAAACACCAAGGTTATGGGATTTCCGATCAATCAGTTATATGGCGGCTATAGGATATAGCCGGCCGATCCTTATGAAATTTGATAGGCCGGATAAAGTGGCCAAATATAAAAGCCATAGAAAATCACAACTTTCTATCTTTACAAACACCAAAGTTATGGCATTTCCGATCAATCAGTTATATGGCAGCTATAGGATATAGTCGGCCGATCCTTATGAAATTTGGTAGGTCGGATTGATTGGCCAAATATAAAACTCATAGAAAATCCCAACTTTCTAACTTTACAAACAACAAAGCTATGGCATTTCCGATCAATCAGTTATATGGCAGCTATAGGATATAGTCGGCCGATCCCGGCCGTTCCGACTTATATACTGCGTGCAAAGGAAAGAAGGGTGTGTGCAAAGTTTCAATTCGATATCTTTAAAACTGAGAGACTAGTTCGCGTAGAAACAGACAGACGGACAGACAGACGGACAGACAGACGGACAGACAGACGGACAGACGGACAGACGGACAGACGGACAGACGGACAGACGGACAGACGGACATGGCTATATCAACTCAGGAGGTGATCCTGATCAAGAATATATATACTTTATAGGGTCGGAGATGTCTCCATCACTGCGTTGCACACTTTTGACCAAAATTATAATACCCTCTGCAAGGGTATAAAAATGCTGGCAGTGTTTAATAAAAATATTTGAAAACAAGAAAAAGCTAACTGGGCGGAGCCGAAGTTGAAATACCCTCAGAATATTCTGCAAATTATATTCTCCAAAATCATTCATAATGCATTCTTAATACTCATAAAAAATCCCAACTTCTAACTTTAAAAACACCAAAGTTATGGCATTTCCAATCGTTCAGTTATATGGCAGTTATAGAATATAGTCGGCCGATCCTTATGAAATTTGATATGTCGGATTGATTAGGCAAAAATAAAACCCATAGAAAATCCCAACTTCCTAGCTTAACAAACACCAAAGTTATGGCATTTCCGATCAATCAGTTATATGGCAGCTATAAGATATAGTCGGCCGATCCTTGTGAAATTTGGTACGTCGGATTGATTGGCCAAATATAAAACCCATAGAAAGTCCCAACTTCCTAACCTAACAAACAGCAGAGTTATGGCATTTCCGATCAATCAGTTATATGGCAGCCATAGGATATAGTCGGCCGATCCCGGCCGTTCCGACTTATATACTGCGTGCACAGGAAAGAAGGGTGTGTGCAAAGTTTCAATTCGATATCTTTAAAACTGAGAGACTAGTTCGCGTAGAAACAGACAGACGGACAGACAGACGGACAGACGGACATGCTTATATCAACTCAGGAGGTGATCCTGATCAAGAATATATATACTTTATAGGGTCGGAGATGTCTCCTTCACTGCGTTGCACACTTTTGACCAAAATTATAATACCCTCTGCAAGGGTATAAAAACAACAAAAATGGTATGTATGAAAAGTTTGAAGTCTCCATCTTTATTTGTTTTTATACCCTTGCAGAGGGTATTATAATTTGGTCAAAAGGCAACGCGAAGGAACACCCACCCTATAAAGATATATATCTGATCAGGACACCTCCCGAGTTGATATAAGCATGTCTGTCTGTCCGTCTGTCTGTCCGTCTGTCTGTTTCTACGCGAACTAGTCTCTCAGTTTAAAGATATCGAATTGAAACTTACACACACCCTTCTTCCTTGCACGCAGTATAAAGTCGGAACGGCGACGGCCGACTATATCCTATAGCTGCCATATAACTGATTGATCGGAAATGCCATAACTCTGCTGTTTGTTAAGTTAGGAAGTTGGGACTCTATGGGTATTATATTTGGCCAATCAATCCGACGTACCAAATTTCATAAGGATCGGCCGACTATATCCTATAGCTGCAAAAATTGATCGAAATGCCATAACTTTGGTGTTTGTTAAGTTAGGAAGTTGGTATTTTCTATGGGTTTTATTTTGCCCAATCAATCCGACATATCAAATTCATAAGGATCGGCCGACCATATTCTATAGCTGCCATATACATAACTGAACGATTGGAAATGCCATAACTTGGTGTTTTTAAAGTTAGAAGTTGGGATTTTTTATGAGTATTAAGAATGCATCATATGAATAATTTTGGAGAATATAATTTGCAGAATATTCTGCAGGTATTTCAACTTCGGCTCCGCCCGAAGTTAGCTTTCCTTTCTTGTTATTTATCAGTCAGTTGCAAATGGTGACAATTTGAGTACGATAATGAACGGGTGTTCTTAAGGGACACTTAAGTATGTAACCACTGCAATCTTAGTTTCCTTTTATATTCGAGAATCATATTTTAATCAGATTTTTCTTATGAATTTATGTGCAATACTCTGTGACTTTATTCCACTTACTCGAGCACCCATTGACCATTTCTGGCCGGTCAACGGAGGCAAAAACCGCCAGCCATTGTGGCATTCCCCTTTCAACAAGATTCTTGGCTGGGTCCGGCTTCAGTTTCAATTTCGGTGGCATCTCCGGCTACGGCTGCCACAATCCAATTAACCTTTTGACATTTCGCGACAGGCAAACGGCGCGGCCAAGACTTCTTAGCCACTTGGCAATGGCTAATGACCACGAGTAAATCAAATAAACCTGGCTGCGGTTGCCGGTTTATGCGGATGCAACCGATCGCACAGTGCATCGGCGGTAATTAAAACACTCAACGTGCCTCACCTGACAAGCTCAAACGATGCGCCGGCAGCTGCTCTACACAGAGCCAAAAGCAATTATATAATTCGCAATCAATTCTGTTTATTGATCTTAAAATAGTTCACTTTTGACTTATTCTGTAATACTCTAAAATACCATTTATTGTGTGAACTAAGTCAAGCCATAGTTACACAAATGTTATAAAAAACAATGATTTATAAGATAAATAATAGGAATGTACCGAATAAAGCGCTATGTGCTTGCAAAGCTTGTTTAACAACACATATCAAGTTTCATTGATCATCTACAGATTTTTAAAGACTATGAACAAATCCAAAATGGAGTATTTAGGTTTATTGTGGTAATATTTTGTTTGGATTTTTTTTTAAATTTAAATCGATAGAAGTTCCACTTGGAGTATGGATTTAACTAAGTTGTTTATGCTTACTATATTTCTCTAAGTGAGGGCTTAATAAACACATCGGATTGCCTGGCACCAATGCGCATTTGGATTGGGGATTGTGGATTCCTCATTTTAGTTATGGCTTGCTTTTGACACCTGGCCGAGGAAGTTTTCGGAAGGGGATGTTGCCACCGTTGACGTGGTTGTTGTTGTTGCTGTTGCAGCTCCTACGCCCACAGCAGCAATTTGGCCGACTCTTGCCACATCGTTTAGTTTCCACACGCTTCTAAAACGGCCAACGGAGCATAACAATGCTGGTGGAGGGGCAGGTGTTTGGATTGGGGGTGGTGGCAGGCGGTGGGAGGCAGTGGGAGGCGGTGGGCGGCAGTGGGCTGCCCACACGCGCTGATGCTGCCACTGCCGGCGAGAAAAACGTGAGCACATGCGTCGATGGCGTGGGCGCCATAAATCACCTCATGATTAATGTACAGACACTTGGCCACAACCAGAAGAGCTGGCTCGTAGCTGTGAATTTAATTGGAGCAGCAAATTGTTGCTAAGAATTCGCCGCCTGTTGAGTGCAGCGAAATTGCTGCTGCTGCCGCTTCTTTTGT